CAGAATGAATAACAGATGGATGGATGGAACGATAGAACGACAGAATGAATGATGGATGGATGGAACGATAGAATGACAGAATGAATGATGGATGGATGGAATGATAGAATGACAGAATGAATGGATGGAATGATAGAATGACAATGAATTATGAATGGATGGATGGATGGATGGGTTGGACGATGGATGGATGGAATGATAGATAGAACGATGGATAGATGGATGGATGGAACGATGGATAGAATGATAGAATAACAGAACAAACGATTGAAGGATGGAGGGGTGGATGGATGGTAGGAATGGAGGAATGGATGGATGGAAAGAGAATGTATGACAGATGGACAGATGGATAGATAGAAGGATGGATGGATGGATGAATAGATGAATGAAAAAATAGATGGAAGCACATTTCATTACTTTGATTAATAAAATAATATTCACAATAATAACAAACAACCTCTTGTTTTGGCTGTGAAATCAGTTGAGAGACAACAGTTTGCTCATAACACATGAAGACAGTCAGCGGTCGACACAGTCAGAGCACAGATTTACTGCTGAATCAGTTTGTCTCTGCAGATGCTACAGGTGCGGAGAACAGACACGCTGATGCAACTGACACCTGACTTTCATTTCATCATCTGTTCCTCTGTTTAATTATTTATCTTGTCTGTATGCAAAGCCACCTTGATTCAGAGCTTTCAAATGTAGCGGCGTTTTACATGACAAGACAACAAACGGCTTTCTGTGACACACTAAAACACGTTTACACACATCAGATCTGACAACACCATCCTTCAAAGAACAACAGATTAAAGAGAACGAGGGCTGAAGAGGGGAGCTTTAAAAAGACATTTGCACTCCAGAGCGCAACGAGTTGCTAATCAGAGAAAGAGCGTTACTATTCATACAATTCATACTGATGTATCGATAGCATTGACCTCGTAGTCACATTCAGTTTGCATCTGCGTCAGGGTTATTACCGTTAACTAAAACTAAATTGTTAATATTTGAAATAAATAAATATATACATCTTAAAAAAAGTTGTAAATGTATTTAAATTAATATTTAATATAATTGTTTTTTTTATTACATTAGTACTTAAATCTTAAATATTTTTGTAAACTTAAAATAATATATAAATATTAGATGAAAATCTAACTTAGAAATGGCTAACTGAAATAAGTTAGAAATAAACAAAAACTAAAAATGAGATACAGACATATGCTTAAATAAATGAATAAATTAAACGAAATTAATTAACAAATTAAACCTAAATAGTTTAAAAAGAACAATAACTAATAAAAAGGACATAAGCACAAAACAAAATGATAAAAATGTTAACTAAAATGAAATGCAAAATGAGAATATTAAAATATTAATAAAAACTATAACGGTATATAAATAATACTAAAATAACACTGTTCTGCATGGATGTTGGTCAATATTAATTGAAAATGTAAACAGATGAACAATTCAGAAATAATATGGGCGCCTTTTACATAGTATTTTTAACATAATATGAATTTAGATGCATGATTTCTGTTATTGTACACTATTTAAGACAGATATAATATTATGCTAATTTGTTTCCATTTTTGTTGCGTCATACCAGGGTATTATAATTATAGTTGACAAAATCCAAAAACATAAAAAACATTAAAAAAAACATTAAAAAAACAGCTGTAATTTTAAACAAAATAAATGTTAACTGAAATAAAATGTAATTTTAAAACACTTAAACTTGTTATATTTCAGATAACTGCCAGGGCAACATTTCTCATTTTCATTTAGTTTAGTTTGATGCACTAAAATAACTAAAAATGAAATAAAAATAATAATAATACAAACTATATAGAGAAATAAAAGAAATAACACAACAAAATAACTACTTAAATACATAACAACTTAAATTCAAATTCAAATAAAAACAGAAAATATAAAAATAAAAACATGTTATTTATATGATAAAATAAAATTAATAATACTATAATAATAACACTGAGAAATGTAATGTGATCAAACAAAACTAGAGCCCTCCCATGACAATGAATGCAGCTGTCCACACTGTTGATTATAATCTATTTTTGTCGCATTGCATCACGCTTTCTTAGTGCTGACACAGTGTTATGCTGTTTATTCATATTTGTTCACATTTATCATCCTCAGCCCAGTAACCAGCTTACGCACGCACACACACACACACACACACACACAGCTTGAAGAAAAGTGCTTTGTTCCTAAGTTTCTCCTAACACAATCACCACTGTACCCCAGAGCGAGGCACTGCTGTCTCCAGCGGGACGCCCTGTTCCTGCCATCAGCACCCTGCAGCTTATTCTGGGTAAAAATAAAAGCTCCTGCTAAATGACGTGAATCGAGACGGAACTCTGAAATGTATCACTGCTTTTGAAGTATTTCGGTGTTGGTGAGCAGAAAGTGAGTTTCAGTTCTGATGTGACAGCAAGAAAAATAATGCGAATAATACAATGTCATATAATCATACATAGTTAGGATTACACAATGAAAAGGAAGGATTTCATGAAAAATGACAATACAAACAGGAAGTCAGTTGGACTGAATGTATCCAGTACTTTCATAATTTTGTACTGTATTTTTGACTCCTATCTATAAAAATTTAAAAAAGGGAGAAAATGCATAGTAATTGAGCAAAACTATTTAGAAACATTTTGTTAATTGATATAAAGCTGAAATACAATAAAATAACATTAATATTGTCAATTTCCCTATTCAGAAATTCATGTTATAAATTTAGCATATTATTGTATTACATTCTTGGAAATATTAATACATTTGATGTTTTTAAAGATTTCAATTTAATCAACACTTTAATCTGGGTTCTGATTATTATTATTTTTTTAAATGAAGCTGAATTAACTATTTTTGCTTATTTTATTTCAGCTAGTTGCCATGGCATTGTTTTTCATTTTCTTTTAGTTTAAGTGCTAAAATAACTACAGCTAAAACTGAAATAAAACTTAATAAAAAATATACTGAATAAAAAAATATATATAACTAAAATTGAAAAGAAAACAGAAAATATACAAATAAAAACTAATCCAAAATAATAATAAAAAAATGAATAAAATTCAAAATATTCAAATTTAATTTAAATAATTAAAAACAATAATTAAAAACAACAAAAAACATTAAATTAAATTTAAATTAAAGCATAAAATATAAAAATAAAACCTAATTCTAAATATTAATAAAAACTATAGGCTAATAGTATCTCAGTGGTACTAAAATAACACTGTGTCAGCTTTGTATATTATTGAATATTTATTATTCTTATTATTACATTTGAATGTTTTGATTCAATAATACTTAAATCTGGGTTCTGAAGCAAAACCAGTCCTGCATGGTTCCCATTCAATTTCTCCATAGGGATTGCAAAGAAATTCTTCAGTAAGATTCACTGTTGACAAATCAACGCAATTTTTTTTTAAATATTTACATTTGCAGTGCAGATATATTACGTACATCTATATTTCTATAAAGCTATCTATAAAGCTTTACAAACTACAGTTAAAAATCAATTTAGTGAAGAGTCCTGATATTACACGATTCGCTCCTCGTGGGATTCGAACCAGTGTCCTTCCGGTTACCAGCACTGAGCCAGCGCTGTGTGTGTGTGTGAGTGTGTGTGTGTGTGTGTGTGTGTGTGCGCGCGCGCATGTGTGTGTGTGTGTGTGTGTGGTAAAGCTCCTCTCCAGGTTGAATGGCATCAGAACATAAACTACAGCTCTGTCCAAATCATTTCATAATAATCTGCACAGATTTAGGAAATAATCCTGCGGGCTTGGCAACAGTTTTTAGCGATGGCAAACTCTGTAATTAGGACACGTTCCTACTGTCTAATGCTGCCTTCAAGTCATGTGAGAACGATCATATTTATGAAATGAGCGTACATGAACACCCCCACAATGTTGTAATTATTAGAGGGAGACCTGGGATTTTCTTCAAGCCAATTAAAGGATTATGAAGATAACTGATTTACATATGGATCATTGTAAATGTTAATTAGCTTTAATGCATTTGGACTCAAGCTGAGAGTTGACTTTGCTCTTTATTTTGTAGAACCAGGGCTAAAATCTTTCTTGAGATGTGAAAATGAGAAGAAATATGAACAAGTCTATTTAATTCCGGCCAAAATCATGTCGAAATCAGTGTTAGCCTATTTTAATGTTATTTATAAACTATTATTAATATTAAAGTAGCTTTTTCTATGTTTTAATTTTTTTTTCTTAGTAATTTTATGTGCTTTTGTCATTTTTTTAAAATATATATTTCTAAATAGTTTTAGTTTTATTTCAGTTCATAATTTTAGTAACGTAAAACTCCCGCTCAGTAAGGAGTTTTAATTCCTTTTAATTTTAAATTAAATAATTTTATATATACTGATGTATTCATTAATGTGTAATATGTTGTATTTTTTAAACAAATTATGTTTAAGAATTTTTACAACTCTTTTGCTTTAGACTATTTACAAATGTTAAATCATAAAATAAAATGTTAAGGTGCATCTTTAAACTGCATCTTTCTGAAAAGAAATGCAGTGATTAATATATAGTTTATTTATAGTTATCTTCAAATCTTCAATGTACTGTCATTATAAAATAACTTTATTATTGTTCATTTATTTCTAACAAATAAGTTCTTGTTAAAAACTAACAAAAATGAAAAATAATTATATATCGGCATCGGCTATCGGCCAAAAAGAGATGAAAATTATCGGCATATCCGATATCGGCAAAAATCCAATATCGTGCATCCCTAAACTTATTTTAGTTAGTTGCCAATGCAACATTTTAAAATTTACGTTACATTTTTTCAACTTCTATTTTATTTCAGCTTTATTTCAATTAACAGGTTTTTCACAAATTCTGAACGATGATGACTCATGCTGTTGAGTTAATAAGAGCATATTTCGCACCTAAACAAACACAAATTCACATCTTTTACCCAACTGATTCTCTTACCTTCTCTCTGCTGTCGAGTGCCGATCCGTCAGGTCGCGTACGAATGGTGAACGGCGTGGACAGCCGGAGCAGAATGTTCTGGAAGGAACAGGGGATTCTGGGAGAAACCAGCTCAAAGCTGTTGTTGAAGGTGAGCGTCCGGTGCGGGTCACTCTTGGCCTGTTTTCGAAGCCCCTCCCCGACCTGCAGGACCTCCATGTTGGGTCCCAGAACCAGGTGAAAGGGAAAGGCCCGGCAAAACGTGCTTAGACCGATGCGCAAATCCAGCGGCGAGCGCGACAGCTGGCGAGATGCGGCGGTGTGCGACAACGAGGATGTGGGTTGAGTCCGAACCTCTTGAATGAGGAAGGACAAACAGGCGGGAGATGAAGATGATGGCGGAGATGGAGATGAAGATGGGGAGGAGTCAGCAGAGAGCTCGCTGTCCTCATTGGCCGTGTGCAGCCACGTGGGAGGAGCTTCCTCAACCGAAACTTCTGATTGGTAGATGCGTCGTGCAGCGGCTCGGATCAAGCCCGGCATGGCCACACCCACAGTAGTGTCAGGGTTGAAGCAGTGGAGGAGAAGAGTCCGTCCCACGTCGCTTTCCGCGTTCGTCTCTTCGCTCTCCTGAGGAGCGTCTTTGCATAGGAAAGAAGGAGCCTCGGACAACGCTCGGCGACCGCAGGACGTTCTGATGTGTTCTAGAAGAGCGTCGAAACCATTGAAAAAGTCCTGCAGGTTTCCTCCGAGAGCTCGCAGAACCCTCTCGTTCTCCTCCAGACACAAGCCAAAGAATTCCTCCCCAAATCGGCCACGTATGTCGGCAAAGTCCACGCCTGTAAAAAATAATGCAAAAAATTATCACTTTGATACAAAAAATTACATTAAATTTAAATGAAATTGATTAAAAGTGACAGTAAAGACTTTTATAATGTTACAAAACATTACAATTTCAAATAAACGCTGTTCTTTTGAACTTTCGGTGGACGCTGAAAAATAAAATGTATCAGTTTCCCAAAAAAATATTGTGCAGCACAACTGTTTTCAACATTGATAATAATCAGAAATGTTTCTTGAGCAGCAAATCAGCATATTTATTTATTTATTTAGTCATTTATTAGATGCTTTTATCCAAAGCGACTTACAAATGAGGACAACAGAAGCAATCAATTGTAGTATTAAAACAACTAAAAACAGATCCAAAACTAAAAGCTAAAACTTTATAAATACTACCTATACACATTTTAAAAATAAAGAGATTAAATAAAAATGACAAATGCATACAACAAAAGTTCAAAACTTAACATTTAAATGAAAAACAAAAAATAAAGATAAAAACAATTCAAAATATTAAAGAACAAAAGGTATGAGTATAATAATGATTCTAACATAACACTAAGCCAAACACCAAAAAAAAATTATTAGAATGATTATTTTAATTATTTAAATATTATTATTATTAGAAATTATTAGCATATTATAATGATTTCTGAAGGCTCATGTGATACTGAAGACTGGAGTAATGATTCTGAAAACTCAACTTTGCTTTACAGAAATAAATTACATTTTAATATATATATA